GCTCCTCGCCTTCCCTCCTCCGCCCATCCTCCCAGGTGCAGGCAGCTCCTCGCTTTCCCTCCTCCGTCCGCCCTCCCAGGTGCAGGCAGCTCCTCACCTTTCGTCCTCCATCCGCCCTCCCTGTGCCACAGGGTGCTGCAGATGCTTTGGCCAACGGCCCTTTCCTTACATGGTTTGGGCCTGGGAGAAGGTAGAAGGTGCGTCCCGAAGCTCTGCTGGCAGAGCCTGCACGTGGAGGAAGCCCACACTCTGACCTCGTGTTGACAGGAGCACCTGCAGAGAGTGCTGGGCAGCCCCGGGAAGACGGTGCCGGGGTCCTCACACCGTAGAGAACGTGTGCTTTCCAGAGGAGCCGGGAGCAGACTCAGCAGCTTGCCTTCTGCCCTCCTCTCCACCCTCTGGGGCTGGCTGAAACGGGTGTCCTTCGAGCACATGGGGGCTTCCTCTTAGAAGTCCCTGCGTTCATTCTTTTCAGGTCCCTCCCAAGCCACCAGCCCCATCCGGTCCCCTCAGGAATCAGCTCTTCTGTTCACTCCGGTCCACAGCCCCAAAACAGAGGTAAGGGTTTGGGGCTCGCTGTGGGGTGCACAGAACTGATGGGACCCCAGAGATACACATTAACGTCCCTGTTTCGGGGCCCATGGTGTGAACCCCATCACGGCTGGGGCTAACGTAGCCTGCTGGCCTCCTCATTCTGAGGAGGATGGAAAACTATCGTCCTCTTACGCTAAGTAGAGCTGTTGATGACAGGAGTGGCCTTGGGGTTCCAGCTCTGGACTCGGGGATGAGGCTGTCTGGATGGCCCCTACTAACTCTGCCCCACTCTGATCCCAAACCTGAGCTGTCTGTCCTGTGTCACTGTACTAGGTCTACATGCCACATACCATATGTTCAATTTAAACATAAGTTTATTAAAAATAAATATGTATTAATAAATGTATAATAGATTTATTAAAATTTGTTATATAAATCGTAAATTTATATTAAAACAAATTTATTAATATATAATAAAGAAATTTATTAAAATTAGTATGATTATAATTTATAATATAAAATAATATGAATAATAAACATTGTTTTATTAATTTTATTAAAAATAAATTTATGTTTAAATTAAAGCAATAATATTGATGGGATCACTGGTTTCATATGACAAATGCTTTTTTAACATTATGTTAAAATGAATGTCTGACCATTGAAATGTGCAGTGTCCAGCAGAGCCTGTGGTGCGTGAACCACGCGGAGAAGGCTGCGAGGCCAGCTAGGACAGAGGTCCTGCGGGGCATGGTTTGGGAAATACAGTCCAGAGGCCACAGCAGAGAGAAAACTGGAGTTCCAGGCCTGCATCTGCTTGATTTGGCCTTTGGGATTCTAGGGAGCATGGAGCTATTCAGCGATTTTTTTTCCCCCTGAGGCAGGGTCTCACTCTGTTGCCCAGGCTGGCATGGGCAGCAGTTCAGTGGCATGATCACAGCTCACTGCAGCCTGCAGCTCCTGGGCTCAGCCGATCCTCCTGCCTCAGCCTCCCAGAGTGCTGGGATGACAGCCATGAGCCACTGCACTGACCTGTTCGCTGATGTTACCTGTGAAACGGGAGGCTTTGTTTGAGACACTTGGATGAGGTGATATAAGGGCTGCTGCAGGCATCGTTGCACATCTTTGCGCTTCCCGGGGAGGGCGCTTTGACCGTAATCCGCTGTGGTAGTAGCGGTTGTAAGTCTTCTTACAGCCCTGGCCCCACTGTGTGCGTCAGAGATCTTGGTGCTCTGGGGCCTCCTGGAGGGTGAGAACTGCAGTCATCCGTGTCCTTTTGGCCAGTGTTCCTGAGTGGACAAAGTTTATAGGATGTATTTGAGATGAACCAAACCCTGGAAACCCAGTTTGTCTAAACTGAGCAGAGTGGTTCTAAACCTTGAACAGCTGGAGCAGAAAGTGAGAAGGGTTCTCCTGAGCTGTTCTAATAACATCTGGGAGGACGGGGGGAGTTCAGGCAGCAGGCACGTTGAGCGAGAAGGCTCCCCGAGGATGCTGCTGGCCGTGGAAGCCCTCACCTTCTCAGCGGCTTCTGTCTTCCTTCTCTGCAGGGGCCCCGACTCCCACTTGTTCCTGCCGCCACCCAGGAGAAACCACCCGAGAAGCACTTTTTCCCTGAGCCTTTGCTTCCCAAAGAGAAGTCCAAAGCTGACGCCCCCTCAGATCCGAGAGCTGTGCACTCTCCCATCCGATCACAGCCAGTGGCCCTGCCGGAAGCCAGGACTCCTGCCTCACCAGGGAGCCCACAGCCCCGGCCACCCCTGGCGGCCTCCACACCCCCACCCAGCCCACTCCCCATCTGCTCCCAGCCCCAGCCTTCCACCGAGGTCACCATCCCGTCCCCTACCCAGTCCCCCATTCGCTTCCAGCCTGTCCCAGCCAAAGCATCCACCCCACTGGCCCCTCTCCCTGTCCAAAGCCAAGGTGACCCTGAGGACAGACTGGGCAGCCCCCCTGCTGTGGACGAGGCCCTCAGACGAAGCGACCTGGTGGAGGAGTTCTGGATGAAGAGCGCGGAGATCCGCCGCAGCCTGGGGCTCACACCTGTGGACCGCAGCAAGGGGCCCCAACCCAGCTTCCCCACGCCTGCCTTCAGGCCAGTGTCCCTCAAGTCCTATTCCGTTGAAAAGTCCCCCCAGGATGAGGGACTCCACCTCCTCAAGCCTCTGCCTGTCCCCAAAAGAACGGGCCTGCCAACGCTAGAGGGTGAACTCTTGTCCCTGCCACCACCCCGGTCCCCGTCCGACAGGGAGCTACGCAGTGCGCAGGAGGAGCGCAGGGAGCTGTCCAGCAGCTCTGGCCTGGGCCTGCAGGGGAGCTCCTCCAACATGAAGACACTGGGCAGCCAGAGCTTCAACACCTCGGACTCCGCCATGCTCACGCCCCCCTCCAGCCCGCCCCCGCCCCCACCCCCGGGTGAGGAACCCGCCACCCTGCGGAGGAAGCTCAGGGAGGCCGAAACCAACGCCTCGGTGGTCCCACAGCCCTCGCCTGCCACATGGATGAGGCCCCCCCGGGAGCCTGCCCAGCCCCACAGAGAGGAAGTGCGGAAATCTTTCGTGGAGAGCGTGGAGGAGATCCCTTTTGCTGATGACGTGGAAGACACCTACGACGACAAGACTGAGGACTCGAGCCTGCAGGAGAAGTTCTTCACGCCCCCCTCCTGCTGGCTGCACCCTGAGAAGCCTCCCCACCCATCCATGGCCAAGGAGAACGGGAGGCTGCCTGCTCTGGAGGGGGCACTGCAGCCACAGAAGAGGGGGCTGCCCTTCGTCTCCGCTGAAGCCAAGGAGCTGGCGGAGGAGCGCATGCGAGCCAGGGAGAAGTCCGTGAAGAGCCAGGCGCTGAGGGACGCCATGGCCAGGCAGCTGAGCAGGATGCAGCAGATGGAGCTGGCCACAGGTGCCCCCAGGCCGCGCAAGGTGTCCTCGGCACCCTCCCAGGGCAAGGAGCGCCGGCCTGACTCCCCCACCCGCCCCACTCTCAGGGGCTCTGAGGAGCCCACCCTGAAGCATGAAGCCACCAGCGAGGAGGTCCTCTCCGCACCATCGGACTCGGGGGGTGCAGATGGCTCTTTCACTTCGTCCGAGGGCTCCAGTGGGAAGAGTAAGAAGAGGTCGTCACTCTTCTCCCCCCGCAGAAATAAGAAGGAGAAGAAGTCCAAAGGCGAGGCCCGGCCCCCGGAAAAGCCCAGCCCCAGCCTCCCAGAGGAGGCCGCCACCAAACCCAAGTCCCTGTGGAAGTCGGTATTCTCCGGGTACAGGAAGGACAAGAAGAAGAAGGCCGACGACAAGTCCTGCCCCAGCACCCCCTCCAGCGGGGCCACAGTGGACTCCGGCAAGCACAGGGCACTGCCCATCGTGAGGGCAGGTGCGTGGGCGTCGGGCCCGCCTGCGGGCAGAGTGGGAGGGGTGCACGTGGGCTCGGGTCATTGGGGCTCTCAGGATTCATGCTTACGCACTGCCCCCCAAGGCTTTTTCGGGAGCCATGCTGACCTAGAGAAGGGACCGAACCATGGGTTCACAGGGCGTAGCCTGCTTAGTAACAAAATTCTCAAAGCCAGCTTGAAACCGGATCAGGAAGAGTGGAGGTTTGTGCCCTTCTAAAGTCACACGACCCCAGTCCACGTGTGCACAGGGCAGAGGGTGGTGCTGCCGGGAGGGGCTGGGCAGGCCGCGGTCCGCCCACTTGGTGTCAGCTCTGCCCTGCCCAGGCAAATGTTGATGTCAGCTCCTGGCTCCCCAGGATGGGGGAAGGATCCATTAAACTAAAATGAGTCCAGCCTCCCTCCTGACCTCCCCGTCTGCACGTGGGAGCAGGAGACAGCTGCCCCGGCAGGCTGGCGCCATCCTCATGCAGCCTCCTCTCCCTACAGAGCTGCAGCTCCGGCGCCAGCTGAGCTTCTCCGAGGACTCGGACCTCTCCAGCGACGATGTCCTTGACAGGTCCTCGCAGAAGTCCCGGCGAGAGGTGCGTAGTCAGGCAGGGGGGCTTCACAGAGCCCAGGGCCCTGGCTGTTCCCTGTTGGGTTTGATGGGGGGGGGTGGGTGGAAGCAAACCTGAAGCCAGGGACGGATGGCAAGTGGCACACAGCCAGCTGACTGCTGACCAGCCCTACGCACGGAGGGGGTCACGCCAGGGTTTTTACTTGGGAGTTGTGGCACAGCAAGGGTTCCTGGTTTCTGCTCTTGTGAAGAAGAAACGACTGGAGCCATTCCTGCGTCACGCTCCCCTTCCCTGGAGGAGGCAGCCCGGCATTGTCTGTTTCTTCATAAGTGATCCCGTGAGGAGCAGCCCGCCAGCCCCAAGGCCTCCTTGGAGAGCGCTGCCCAGTCCAGGGCTACAGGCGGGAGCTGGGACCTCTGGCACTGAGCATTGTGCCTGGTCCTGCCCACGTAGTGGGTTTGTTAGGGTGGATTTGTCGTCTTAGAGGACTGGTCCAGGAATGGACCTGCAGGGCTGCTGGGTCTGACTCGGCCCCTCGCTCTGCAGAGCCCAGGACTTTGGGTGGATCCAGTGAAGGTGGAGGGGAGAGGACTCGGCACACTCTAACAGGCACCTGTCAGCATGCAGGGCAGGTGGAACTCTGCAGAGCACCACCCACCTCTGCTGTCCAGCCTGGGCTCTGCTCCCCCCACTAGCTGGGGGTGGCCTGGCTGTCTCTGCTTCCTGCCTCCGTTTTGCATGAAAAGCTTCCCCAGAGTGTAGTGTGCCTTCGTTGCAAGGCTTCTGGGGCTTGGACTTGAGTCTCCCCTCTCCTGCCCCCCAGTAGCCCAGTCAGGGTGGGCCATGGTGAGCCTGGGCCCCTCATCCTGTTGGGTGAGGTGGCTTCTGCAGCTGATCCCTGCCTCTGTAGATACCTCAGCAAAGCGGACACTTCGTTCCGTGCCCTCCTCGGTGCATTTGTCTCCCTTGGCCTTGCCGGCTCTTCAGCCACTCTCCTAGAAGGCTCTAGAGGGCCAGGCCTCTCCTCTGCTCCGCCCTCTGCAGAGCCAGGCTTCCTTGTGCCCCAGCTAGGCCAGCACTGAGTTAGGGTTGAGGTCTGTGCCTTCTCCTCGAGGACCGAAAGAATGTGCTCTGTCAAGGCTCCCTGTCCAGCTTTCCCAGGCAGGAGCATTGGCACTGAGCTCAGAATTGCCCTGGGTTTCTATGTGGGCCCCTAAACACGTCCCAACATGGACTGGGTGCTGCCTTAGGGGGTCAGCAAGGAATGGAGAGAGTGGTCCCAGGCTCCCTGCCTCAGTGTGACAGTGGGGACCTTCCATCTGCTGGGTCAGGTTGGCCACCTACCTCCCTCACGTTGCTGTGGTGGGCAGTGTGTCCACTGCTTCTTCATGTATGAAGCGCCCGCTAGGGTGCTGGGCAGCAGCTGCCTGGACTGGCTTTGCCAAGGCTGGTACTTGGTGAGCCTCCCCAGGGCCCAGCAGGTATGAGGAGGAAGGGTGGAGCAGGAACAGGACCACAGGAAAAAGCCATGGACACCAGTCATGGAATCCTAGAGCCAGAGGGGGCCTCTGAGGCCTCCCCCTCCAGGGGCACCCACAGAGGCGAAGCCATGTGCTGGAGGGCACATAGGGAATACTAAAGCCAAAGCCAAGCCTGGAGGACAGACAGGCTGGGGGACGGCCGAGCTAGGGGACGGCAGAGCTAGGGGACGG